ACATGTGGCAATTTTTCTGGCTTTACATTGTTTTATTTATTTACACAAACAAATTATGACTTACATGCAGTTTCTAGCTGCCAAATCACGATGAATGAATTTCTGTGAAGCTAAGTAGCACATTCCATTGCCAACTTGTAAACAAATGGAGAGTAACTGTTTCCTGACATTCAGTATAATATCCTCTTCACTGGTATCAGCTACTGTAAGATTAGGTCTCTCTTTCTTGAGGTAAGACAATAAACTTCCTCTTGACATGAAAGGCATGATAATGTATGGAGCTGGTCCAAGATCAAGACACACACCAATCAGTGGTAATACATTTAAATTATCAAATGACATCATTATAATGCACTCATCCAGTAGAGAATCAATATCACTCTTACTGTAAAAACCTGCAAATGTAATAATTATAATAATAAATATGCCCACAGAATAATAATTATAAATACTTCTTAAAGTCTTGGCAGCAATAGCTTGTGGTATGTCATTTTTGACTGATATCAGCCCACGATACACTATACCAAACTCACCTACATGTATAAACAATTTGAAAATAAATTTTTCAATTACTGATGCAATCCTCACTGACCTCGACCAACAGTCTCCTGTATCTTGAGGCTTGACCCTGATATTACATGCTTTGATAGTTGATTGATATAATCAGAAGGAATCTCCTCAAGTTGATAACTGCTGCAATCTATTATAAAATATACATATGTCCACATATTTTTTGTAAGTTTCATGTACATGTACTTTAATTGATTAAAAATGTACATTTTTAGAACTAGATTTACTCACTTTTAAAGGCGATACATCTAGTATCCTCATTTGTGACTGGTTTCATTTTTTTTCTCTTTTTTATTGTGCAAGCATAAAAAATCACTATAAGTACTACCAGTAGTCCTAATACCACAGTGACTATTACCACTGGTATTACAATAACTGCAATTCGATCTGAAGAAGTAAATGTAACAACAGTAATAACTAATAACATGTACAAAACTAAGGCAAATTACTATAGAGAATGATTTCACTTAAAAATAATGTAAAGCAATGAAGTATCAAGTAATTATAATACAAATTATGTAATAGTTAGAACATGGCTTCAAGGGATATATCATTTGAGGTGCATATCAGATATATCCCAAGAACCCATGTTCTAACTAACTTATTCCATTGGAAGACATAACAATTAAACCAAATTGACAATATGGTGTGTCCCCACTCCAATTTCCACTACTCAAGCATGTCCTACCAGCATCTCCAACTAAACTGTAGCCATCTTCACAGCTATATGTAGCTGTACTGTTGTAATGTTTAGTGTTTGATGAATAAGAAACAGAGAGTCCTTCATTTGACTCAACCATTAGCTCACTGCAATTGACTATAAATTTATCAAATAAATAAAGTATTTTTTGAAAATAATTCTAACCAATTTGACAATAAGGTGGATTTCCACTCCAATTACCACTACTCAAGCATGTCCTAACAGTAACCCCAACTAAACTGTAGCCGTCTTCACAGCTATATGTAACTGTAATGTTGTAAGGTGTATTTGATGAATAAGAAACAGAGAGTCCTTCGTTTGGCTCAACCATTAGCTCACTGCAATTGACTATAAAATTATTAAAAGTATTGTTTGAAAATAATTCTAACCAATTTGACGACAGTCAGGTGGATTTCCACTCCATTTCCCACTACTCAAGCATGTCCTAACAGCATCTCCCACTAAACTGTAGCCATCTTCACAGCTATATGTAGCTGTACTGTTGATAAATGTACTGTTGTAGCTCAAAATGGTTTCATTCACATTTAATTGGTCTGGAATACCACATCCTATACACAGTAATGGTAATGATGATAATAAATTATTGATGATACTCACCAGCTGTAATAATATTATCTCCACTGACTTGAAAGATCCAAAGTCCTTCAACATCTACATTGCTTGTAGTTTCAATATCGACTACTTCTGGTGTTCCAGAGCCTTCTACAGCAAAGTATGTGGAATTTGGCCCTCCAGAATTAAATCCCACATAAGCCTCTGTTCCATTAAAGCCATCCACACCTCCACTTGCATCACCAGTGATCCAATTTATACCATCATCAAGATAAAGGAACAAGACATAGGAACGGCTCCCATCAGTAGCCAGGACACACTGAAATGTATTAAGCTATATTATGTATGTTAAATGAAAAAAGATTAGTTCAAATTTTATACATTATATACTTCGTCAGAATTCAGATTAAAGTATCCAACTCTGTACCATGTCACTATTACAACAGATGTAGCTGTAAATGAAAGCTGCTCTGGAAATGCAAGTTGCACATCCTGAGCCACTTTGCTCATGATGGCACAATCAGTAGTTTCTCTGAAATAGACTGTCCCAGCTCCATTGCGTGTGTCTACATCAGCCCAGAAAGGAGCAATGAGCGTTTGAGGTAAAGGAAATTCTCGGGATGTGTATAGTGCATAAACTGGATAACGAAATGAAAGGAGACCATTGTTGTTTACCTATAGGACAGTGAGAATGAAATGGTATGTATAGTGTCAGGGAGAGTAATTACCACTACTACTGCTAATATCTCTATTTTTTGCTTTTTAGTCTATACCAGATCTGTTTCTCTCATTTTTAATTACAATAACAACTACAAGGTGGTCAGCTGTAGTCTTGCAAGCTGCCAGGCCTGCCTGGCTTATGATAGTCTCACATAGCCAGACCCACTCTCCTAACACATAGGCAGGGAGGGTGGGTCTGGCTACGCGAGACTAGGCTTACTGTGCTTTTCACTCCATTTGGATCATTGCGTGTTCTGTAAAACCCTCCCATCCATACTATGTGCATGTATCCAAGTGGAGTGAAAAGCGCAGTATGAGACGAATCTCAATACAATTGTCTATATTAATTCCATCATTTATTATTGTAGAGATACTCACAAATACAGTGCTAAAATTGCTGCCATAAAAGATAAAGCTACTTGATAAACTTATGGATCTAAACGTATCATCAGCATTCTTAATTGACTGATCTCCTGTAAACATAGATCGTCCTGCAAAATTATAGAAACGCGATATGGGAACAGAAAGACCTGTGAATGATAAGATAATAAATTAACTCCATTATAAGGATACTGACAGTTCTGTAGCGAGAGCAACAAACACAGCAACAGTAAATGAGTGAAATGACTCCAGTTCATGTTCGGTGCACTTTCATCGTCACGCCAGAGATTTTACATGCGTAGTATATATACCTAATGGTCACAGGCCTGCAATTTGTCAACCGAAATAGGCTAATTATAATTTTCTACCATGCCAAGTTGTAATTGACCAAACAGATTGCTCAATTTCAGGTTCATAAATAACTTACCTACCAACAAGTTTCCCGGGAGGTTGAATAAGTAGCCCGGGAGGTTGAATAAGTAGCTCGGGAGGTTGAATAAGTAGCTCGAGGTGAATAAGTAAGTAAGCCTTTCTATGATTCCCGGACAGTCGGAGGTCGAATAAGTAGCCCGGGAAATTTACTTATTCACCTCCTGTTTAAAAAATGCATTGCTGTTGCCAACTGTTGCTAAGTAAACTAGTTGTTTAGTAAAGGCAAGAGTAGATCATTATCTACTCTTGGTAAAGGTAAAGGTTATGGCATTTATCATACCGAGGGGTGTAGGCCCGAGGTATGATAAGGCCATAGATACCGACACAGAGTTGTATAACCAACTTGTACCATGTACTAAAATAAAATCGTTTACTCACTTAGCAAAAATGAGCAGCAGCAATGCATTTTTTAAACAGGAGGTCAATAAGTAAGTTCCCGGAAATTACTTGTTCACCTCAAGCTACTTATTCAACCCATAGATAATAGAGTAACTCTATTATCTATGTTCAACCTCCCGGGCTACTTATTCAACCTCCCGGGAAACTTGTTGGTAGGTAAGTTATTTATGAACCTGAAATTGAGCAATCTGATTGGTCAATTACAACTAGGCATGGTAGAATTTTAGTACATGGTAGAAGTTGGTTATACAATTCTGTGTCGGTATCTATGGCCTTATCATACCTCAGTCCTACGGCCCTCGGTATGATAAATGCCATAGATATCTCCACCTCGTTGTATAACCTTTATATTATAATATTAGCGTTGTTGTCAAGGCGTGGCCACGCCTAACTAGCTAGCTAGTAGCTACATGTAGCTAATAGACCACCATAGAATTATAAAACCATAGTTACGTAGTCTATAATATTTATGTACAAACACAGACCACCCAATGAGAATAATATTGCTTGCATGCATAGATACTATGTGCATGGGAAGATTACCCACGGTTGTATTACGGTTGTAAGGCGTGGTTTAGGATGAATTCCAGCTGCCATTTTGCTTTTTGGTTGGCAACTTTCTCAATGGAGAATGAGGGGTCTGCAATAAGCCTGAGAACATTAGGCTAGCATTATTTTGAGCATATTAGAGCCTCAGGAGCACTATGGAATGGTTAAAGGAATGATGCAACACAAAATAAATTTATTATTGCAGTTTTAAGAGGAAAATAAAATAGAGTTAATAAATTGTTATTGTCACGTTATTCTTTTTTCTTTCCATTTTTCTTGTCGGGGAGGGCAAGAGCCAAGAAAAGTAATATGAGAAACGGAGAAAAATAAAAATATCTAAAAAGCATAAAACAAGTATAATTAAACACGTAATCTAATAGTGCATTCACAATTAATTTTGGAATGAGGACATTCTATACAATAGTAATAATACATACTTGTACTTGTACTTATATTTTAAGTATACAGAAGTAAGCCTTACACAACTTAATACAGTCAAATCTGCTACATTATGGGCACTCTATAATAAGGACACTTCTACATGTATACATGTATTTACAGGTACATGTACATGGCAGTCCCAATACTTTATGCATTTAAATGTGCATTCTAAAATAGGGACACATGTACATGTACATGTAGTCGTGGAAGAACCCAGTACTTACCCACAGAAGGTAACTACATTGTCTATTGTCAGTAACCAGAAGAAGCACTGGATAAAGTCTCTGAACAAAGACGTCGATGCTGTTGATGATATGTCATAAAGTATCTTAACATAGCGTGGTGACTGGAACCTGTGCCAGAGCAAATACCTCAACTAAAAGATTATAGAGACTATAAATTAAGAATGTGAAATTTATAAACATTAAATTAACTTTTATATTTACTATTTCACTTCAGGGTTACAATTATTTATAACCCATTCAAAAATTGGAAACAATTCCTTGAATGACGAGGACACTGTCTTCAGCAGAGCTGGCTGTAGGTTTATATGCAGTGTTATTTGTAAAAGCTATCGTGGGTTGCATGATTGTGGTTATAATAACTTATATACTTGTATAAACTGTATTACAAATACAAAAAACTTTGGTGGAGTTGCATGTACATTAGATTTCGTTAAATGAGCAAGAAATTATCTTCCTATTTCATGACTGGGGAGTACAAAATTTTAATCACTAAACATAATATTTGAAAAGCAATTTGCAATATTTTTACAGTTTCAAATTTTTTAGCTACATACATACATGTATACGTAGTACATACATGTATATATCAGAACTACATGTATACATGTACATGTACATGTATGTACCTTACGACCAATAATAGAGCCAAGAGCCACCATAATAAAAGCTAAATAATAGCCAGGATAAAAACCATGCCACAGGGCAGACAGCATGTTAGTTAAAAGCACAGAGTGAGAACGATCATAACATACCCTAAAATACAATGACATTAAGAGAATTATACAAATTTAAAATTTAATTTAATCATGAATAAACAATAGCCTGAAATACTCATATACTTTATCATTTTAGCGTAATTTTCTTACATGTAGATGTACAAGTATGTAGTACATGTACATGTAAGTCTATTATAAATTGGATTATAATACAAATATACATGTACATGTACATGACATGTACACGTACATGTATACATGTACATGTACATGTATACATGTACATGTACATGTATACATGTACATGTACATGCATGTACTTTTATCTACCTCCTAAGCCACTGGACAGTTTTCATATTCCAAGAGCTTGTCATTTCCCTAGGATTAGCTCCAAGCTCAAATCCTCTGAGATCAATGTTCTTAGCTAAGTCCCAAACTTCTCTCCCTTCTTTATCATAGCCAGTGAATCCTAACCCACCAGCATTGGATATACTCTCAGCTACAAGTAGAAATAAAGAAATAAAGTAATAAAGTGTATAAATTACTTTCTAGAACATGTACAAAGTAGATGCATCAAATTGGAAAATTGTCTTGGAGCCATTTTTGATATAGTTTGGTCAAAGACCCACCCATGGGACTTTGGCCCGATTTTTGAGTAACTTTAAAAATTCGTAAAAAATCCAATTTTGTTCGGAATCAGTTCAAACTTGGTACACAACATAAGAACATGTATATGTATCAGAAAAAATTATAAAAATGAAGAATTCTTTCTTAGTCATTTTTGGCAAAATTTAGCTAAAAACCCTGTACTATAAGTACAGGGACTTTGGCCTGATTTTTGAGTAACTTTAAAAATTCATAAAAAATCCAATTTTGTTCGGAATCAGCTCAAACTTGTTACACAACATAAGAACAAGTATACGTATCAGAAAAAATTATAAAAATGAAGAATTCTCTCCTAGTGATTTTTGGCAAAATTTGTCCAAAAACCCTGTACTATAGTACAGGGAATTTGGCTTGATTTTTTAGTAACTTTAAAAATTTGTAAAAAATTTAATTTTGTTCGGAATCAACTTAAACTTGCTACACAACATTAAAAAATGTAATACAAATTTGAGAATTCTTTTGGAGCAATTTTTGACAAAATACCCCATGATCTCTTATTTTGAAGCAAACTCTAAAATTTTGATCAGAATCTGCTAAAACCTTCTACATAAAAAAGGACAATATTACTCGTCAAAACCAAATATGGGGCCTTATTTTACAACATTATGTACATGTACAGTACATGTACTTACTCAATAGGAAAGTAAAGAAATATTGTGATCTCATTGCAAGACAGAACATAAGCATATTGATGAGCCGTCTCAATATATAAAGATCAGGATCTAAAGGAAAAAAGTTGTACAGTACAAAGTGCTGTAAAAACGTAATCTCTTTACCTAACAGTAGACTGGTATCAGTCCATGATGAACTAAGAATAACAATACTAAGAGCTGTCATACTGAGTAGAAACGTCTTTACCGTTGGAATGAGTGGACTAGGCTCTGTGGTAGTCTATAAAAAAATTTGATTCATTATTACTATAAAATACTACATGAAAGTTTAAAGTTAGTGTACAATCAAGATTGGACACAGCACAGTTATAATTATTATCATTACTGACTTTATTATTGGCTGCTTGAGTAAAATTGGTTCCAGTTATGAAGTCATCATAATTTTTATAAGCAACAGTCGGGCCAGCAAGGAAGGTCATGAAACTAAAGTTATAACTGAAATACTCCAAAAGAGACGGTATGGAACTAAAAAAAATTGACTGACAATAGAAAGTAGCAGTTTGACTATAAGTTTCAGTTTCAATGATGTATACATGAAGAAAGTAAGCAACACTTCATTGTTAAACACACAATATATATGCTCAATAGTGCTATAATACTTTACCTAATTTTCAGTTTCTTTTGATCATCACTGAGATCCTTTTCGTCCCTTGCTACTCCTATAAATAACAGTCATGTACATGTAATTGGAACATATAATAACTAACCATCATGATAAGCATAAGCAACATAGGAGACCCTTTGAACCAGCAGCATCAGTGGACTAAAGGAAGGAAGTGAGAGGGAAAGAGGTATTATAGTACAAGTGAATGTAAGTACTTGATATCATGCTATTGTGTGCTTTGTGAATGCATCAATTGTATAATAGAATGTACATGTACTGTATCGGTCCATGCACTTACCCAGTAAAGTCAAGAGTGTATCCTCCATAATCAGTTATTAAACGATAAATGTGTCCAGTACTAATACCAATGAGGGCATATATCATTGAATATCTAATGAGAGAGAGAGGGGGGAGGGAGGGGGAGGGAAGGACAAATACAAGGAAGGAGGAAGAAAGAAGGAAGATAGGAAATAACAATCACCAAAATATGAAGTCAATGTGTGTAATGTTAATGCACAAACTCATTATTAAAACACACTGTAAATATATGAATGGCAGGCAGGCAAACAGACTACCCCGTATGGAAGGAAATTTTCGAGGTAGTTAAATTTGGCGAATTTGGTGTTTTGATAGCCATTTGCCAAAATAAAAATTCGCCATTTTGAGCCATTATACGCATGCTCAATGGCACGTGGCCACAAATTCGCCAATCACCAAAATTTAGCAATTCGCCAAAATTTAGTCCCTCCAAAATTTCCTTCTGTACAGTATATTCACATAATGCCTTCCCTATGTAGAATGTATCAGGTTAAAATGTGCAATTTGTCCTATTAGGCTAGTGCTATGATATTAACAAAATAATTATAAGTAAGTCCAAGGGGCAGGTAAAAGCTACATGTACAATAATAACTATTTAAAAGCTTGTAAAAGATACATGTACAGTGTATCTATTTGGAGCCATTTTAAAAATAACACAGATAATCTAATAATTGATTAATATCAAACTAACACATCATAAAAGGCAATTGATATTAAATGGATCATATAATCCATCACACAATACATGTACATGCATTTGTATAATTATGCTTACAAAAACAAACATAGTTATAAACTTATGATAATAACAAAGATCAGAGAATTTCTATGGGCTCTGTAGGTAAAATAATGAGATTTTTCTTTTCAATTTATTTAAATCTATTTTGCAACTAAAAAGAAATCAAACAGTTCACCTTTGTACAATGGTTGGTGGTAGTGTGATTAGTAACATGTAACCAACTGATACAAACCCTATCAGATAAAATACCTGCCTACAAAAAAAGCATTGATGTATAATAATAATAATAAATAAATAAATAAATAATAATAATAATTTTGTTAATAAGGTACCATTGGAAACATATCCATCCAAAGAGGAGGCCGAGTAGAGCAGATACAGTGTGTCTGATGGTAGGACTAGTGTATGAATAATGAAGAACAACACGGAGGAGACTAGCCAATGGAAAAGATACGAGGAACAGTGTCACATAGCGGACCTAGAGTGACAGATAAATACCAGAGACAATTGAGGCTATAGACTTACCCTGTCCACAGGAAAACCCAACAGATCAGAAAAATATTCAAAGAACATCTCACCCCTCAAATGCGAGATAAAGTTGCTAAGCAGCAAACTAATATTATTTTAATTGATATACCACGCCCATCTAATTATTAAGAATGGTATTTGACACTTTAAAAATGTCATGAAAAAAATAAGCAAAACAAAACAGAAGGAATAATAAATATTTTTGAGTTTACTTTGAAATAAATTGATCTCAAAAATAGTTTTTTTAAATACATATTATCTATTCATTCCGACTTCTTTTGTCTTTTCTTGTCGGGCAGGACAAGAGCCGTGAAAAGTAAAATAAAGAATGGAGCAAAATACAAATGCCTAAACAAAAACAACAACAACAATGACAACAACAACAAAAACAACATAAGTACATAATATTATCACCATATGGTAGTATTACCGTATAGCCACAAAGTTTCGAGGCAATAAACTTTCGCGAATCAGGCCACAAGTCTTTTTTCGCGAATTAACTTTTGCGGTTCTTGTTTTAAAGCACATGTGTTTATGGGCAATACGGATATTTCACGGAATTAACTTTCGCGAATACGGAAAATCCGCGAAAACAGCGAAAGTTGTACCCTCAAAATTAAGCGGCTATACGGTACTAGGGTACAATATGTACAGTAAATGCAGAAATTTATGAGGGACAAAATTTCAAGGACATCTTCAAAATTATAGGCAGTGTCCCATAATACCACATGTCCTAACATACCAGACTCTACTCTATAATAAAGAGTGTGTATTAAAATGAATGGGCATTGGTTGTTTTGATGTACTTATGCAAGTTACTTTTACAGGGAAAGACTAATAGAATGGAAGGGTATTTCACTAAAACAGTTCTTATCATACCGATACTGTAAGCATAACATACCGTATGCATAATAAATAATAGATGTATTGACTGTACCTCCAATAGGTCAATATATTTTCTATTGTTAGCAATAAGAATGTGACTTGAATGAACTCTCTAAACAAGACAGTCGACACTGTTGATGATATGTCATAAAGTATCTTAACATAGCGTGGCGACTGGAACCTGTGCCAGAGTAAATACCTCAACTAAAGAGTAGAAATTACAATGTAAATATGTGACAATTATAAACATTATATTAAATTAATAATTAACTTTTCAGGGTTACTAATATTAATGACCCATTCAAAAATTGTAGGTACATCCCTTCAAAGTAATGTCTTACAGTAGAGCTGGCTGTGGGCTTATATCCAGTGTTTTTTGTAAAATCTATCATGGGTTGCATGATTGTGGTTATCACTTATGTACTATTGTACTTGTATAAACTGTATGACAAATACAAAAATTTTGGTAGAGTTACATTAAATTTTGCTAAAATGAACAAAAAATTAACTTCCCATTTTATGTACAGTAACTAGGGTACCTTACGCCCGGTGATTGATCCAAATGCTACCATGGTGAACGATAAATAGTAGCCAGGATAGAAACCATGCCACAGGGCTGATACAACATTTGCCTGTATAACTGATGCTCCACGCTCGTAAAACACCCTAAAAGAACAAAAATAATTACTATTCAGTAAAATTTAAAACAAATAGAAATGTAAAATATAAGTACCATTCACTAAATGGTGTTGCTTGCTACTTTCATACCTTCTAATCCAAAGGGCAGTCTTCATATTCCAAGACATTATCATTTCCCTAGGATTAGCTCCAAACTCATAGCCTTTAAAGTTAATGCTCTTAGCCAAGTCCCAGACTTCTCTCCCTTCTTTATCGTAACCAGTGAATCCTAAACCACCAGCATTACATGCAGTCTCAGCTATTAAGGAATGATAAGGTTAGAAATGGTAAATTAAAAACACAAGTATTTGTCCATTATGTCTAACAAGTGTACAAAGTTTTGTTAGGGATCACTAAAACATACATGTACATTTTCAAAATGCTAAACTTAAATTCCTATAAAAACTAATAAATAAAAATAATAGTACCACAAACATGATGAATGAGTGAATCCATTATCTGCTACTTTAGTACATACTGGTATAATAAACTCTAGCATTACATGTTCATGTACAGTAGGTGTGTGTGTGTGTATGCATTAATTGGCTTACTAATCAGGAAAGAGAAGTAATATGGGGACCTTGTCACAATACAGAATAATAACGTGTTGAATAATCGCCTGGGTAACTGTAGACTAGGATCTATAATAATAAAAATAAAAATAAATAAAATAATAATAATAATGATAATAATAATAAAAACTCATTATGCTATATTCTTTATGTCTACATGTACATGCATATCATTTCGCTATACGTAGTTACTAGCTTACATGTACATTAAGATGAATGATGTATAAAAATGGTATACCATATACATTGTATTCTACATGTTAACACTGTACATTTTCCTTATCTCTTTTACCTAACAGTAGACTGGTATCAGTCCACGATGAACCAATGGCAACGATACTAAGAGCTGTCATACTGAGGAGAAATGTCTTTAATGTTGGAATGAGTGGACTAGGCTCTGTGGTAGACTATAGAGAATAGGAAAGAGTTAATTTTAAGATATTCACTTCATCATCATTTATAAGTTAGTGTGCAATCAAGACTGGACACAACACAGTTACAGTTACATGATACCTTAAGCCTACTATTATTTGCGTCTACTAATTTTAGCGAAATCAGCAAAAGTCATGTTTAGCGTTACTAATTTTAGCGTTTTTAACCAAATTAACTATAAAATAATAATAACCATTATAATGAATAATAATTATTTTGGTGTCTATTTAATTTACCGGTTTAAAGCTCTCTCGCTAATATTATAGCTAAATTTAGTAGACACTAAAAATAGTAGGCTTAAGGTAATTATTATCATTACTGACTTTATTATTGGTTGCTTGAGTAAAATTTGCTCCAGTTATGAAGTCATCATAATTTTTATAAGCAACAGTCGGGCCAGCAAGGAAAGTCATGAAACTAAAGTTATAACTGAAATACTCCAAAAGAGACGGTATGGAACTAAAAAAGAATAAGCAATCAAACGTTTGACAATAGAAAGTAGCAGTTTGATTAAGTTTCAGTTTCAATGATGTATAGAAAGTATACACAAGACTTGGTTGCTATAGGTTAAGTATATACAATGTACATGTATATGTAGTCAGGGTTCACAGTGCTCAGCTTCTTGTCAATACAATCTATGTTACTCAAAACTGGTCAAGGAATCACCTAGTACAAGGCATTTTGTATGGCCAAATTTTGTCAAAAAATGACTAGGAGAGAAATCAGTATATTTATAATTTTTTCTGATACACATACATGTTTTTATGTTGTGTAGCAAGTTTGAGCTCATTCCTACAAAAATTAGATTTTTTTACAAATTTTAAAAGCTATTCAAAAATTGGGCCAAAGTACCTGTACTATAGTACAGGGTATTTGGCCAAATTTTGCCAAAAATGACTAGGAGAGAATTCTTTATTTTTATAATTTTTTCTGATACATATAAATGTTTTAATGTTGTGTAGCAAGTTTGAGCTGATTCCGATCAAAATTAAATTTTTTACAAATTTTTAAAGTTGCTCAAAAAGCTGTATAGCATACTTTGTGGAAAACCCTGCATCATATACTGTATATCATATCAACAGTGCTATAAATACATGTACAATTGTACAATTGTAAACGTACATGTACATGTACTGTAATACTTTACCTAATTTTCAGTTTCTTTTGATCATCACTGAGATCCTTTTCATCCCTTGCTACTCCTAATATACACATATACACAAAAAAGCGTAAAATGTGATTAAGTATGGAACACACATATATAAGCCATGTAACCAAAAATAAACATGCAATAAGACTTCTATTTTGCCAGGACTATCATACTAACTGGCAGCATATACATACTAACATTACTAAGATATTGCTTTAGTAATAATTATTGCTTGGTATATTGTATATACAAAATCATAATACTAACCATCATGATAAGCATAAGCAACATAGGAGACCCTTTGAACCAGCAGCATCAGTGGACTAAAGGAAGGAAGTGAGAGGGAAAGAGGTATTATAGTACAAGTGAATGTAAGTACTTGATATTAAGCTATTGTGTGTTACATTAATGCATCAATTGTATAATAGGATGTACATGTACTGTATTGGCCCATGTACTTACCCAGTAAAGTCAAGAGTGTATCCTCCATAATCAGTTATTAAACGATAAATGTGTCCAGTACTAATACCAATGAGAGCATATATCATTGAATATCTAGTGAGAGAGAGAGAGGGAGGGAGGGGGAGGGACAAAAGAAATGTAGTAAAGTTTATACTGTCAAACTCACCTTTGTACAATGGTTGGTGGTAGTGTGATTAGTAATATGTAACCAACTGATACAAACCCTATCAGATAAAATACCTGCCTACAAAAAAAAGCATTATGATTTATTTTGTTGATAAGGTACCATTGAAAGCACATCCATCCAAAGAGGAGGCCGAGTAGAGCAGATACAGTGTGTCTGATGGTAGGACTAGTGTATGAATAATGAAGAACAATACGGAGGAGACTAGCCAATGGAAAAGATACAAGGAACAGTGTCACATAGCGGACCTAGAGCGACTGATAAATACCAGAGACAATTGAGGCTATAGACTTACCCTGTCCACAGGAAAACTGAATAGATCAGAAAGATATTCAAAGAAAATATCAAACATCTCTCCCTCTTCTTGCAGCAAAAATAATTATCTTTAATTTCAACCACAGTTACCACACCCAGGATAAACTGATAAAAAGTACTAATGAAATCAGTCAACTTTGTCATGAAACTAAATTTTCAAGCATTACAAAGCTGTCATTCTACAGCAAAGTTTTTTAAAAACACAAAATGAGAAACTAATCAATACATGATCGTTGCTCAGTTCAGTGACTCCATCAGTTTAATAACACCACTCAATAAACCAGCTCCGCTGTTACTAGCAGCTGAGAGTGTAATGATATTCGACTGTTGACTGGGTCTATGCTCTGTATCAATATCTTCCTCAGTAAGAGAATGAGTAGCAGTGCTAATACTAGCTATAACTTGACCATACTCTATTAGTAGCTCCAACCTATACATACAATAAATGAATGATATAATTACAGGGGCTATCCCATTCTCATTACTATACCTTGTTCCTTTTGGTGATTCAATCAGTATGCTAGAGGCAAGGGATGTTAGTAGTTTTTGCTTCATGAGTATCAGTGATGGATTAGGTAGAGTGGACTCTAGTAGCTTGCACCATTTCTTGCCAAATGCTATTTGGTCTATCGCCTTTAAAATGTACAGGACAGCCTGAATGTAGTAAGGAAAGAAATAAAAGCAAAGTCTATGAAAAAAAGTACATGCATACATATAAAAGAAATATGTACATTATCAAATAAATAAATAAACAAAATAAATTTTATATGTACTTGGCGTTTCAGAGCTCCTAATAGTCTTTCCTTATCAACTGGTACCGACATTAGCTGTCCGTCTGGTTTCTGAGTCCAGGTGATGACACCATCACTTAGCGTTATATCAAGCCTCCAACTAAAGTATTAATAATGATAGAAGTTAATAATAAATAAGAGTTGGACTATGTTACATGTACAATGCCTTATTCATAACAGCTTTTACTAACTGAATCACATCAATCAATAATAGATGTACATGTACATGTACACACATGTGTGTGCGGATGATCTCAAACTTCCTCTATAGCATAAGGGCATTGATAAGTACCTGATGTATGTACATGTACATGTTTTGTACGTACGAGAAAAATAATTTAGAGAAGAAATTGGCTATAATAGCTGAAAAGGTCTTGTGCCAAATTCGAAGCTATTTTTGGCCAAATATTCACAAATGTTTAAGGATGCTTATGTTAATTATTTTCTAACATAAAAAGTTAAGTATTGCATTACTTGTAAGGGACAGAGTGGCTCGTATAAGCTACAGCAAATGTTGTTGAAGTGAGGGAGAGAGACGGAATAAGAACTACCGTCAGTATTGGATCAATACTGGCTTTAGAGAGCTCAGTCAACCAATTATGAACCCTGGAAATAAATAGAAAATAAAATTTTAAATTTTAAATAGATTTCATGAATAAAAATGAAGAGGCTATTTTTTATAGTAATACAACTCACTTTCCTTGGGCATCAATGTGTCTTGCCATTTTAAGAAGCTTGTTAAAAATTGAGTAACTAAAAATTGTAATGACATTAGATTTTAACGATCTCGTATTTTTCTAAAAATTAATCTATAACCAATAAAGTATAGCGGGTATATTCCGTCAGAGTTTAATTTCGTTCTTTTTATTCTCGTTTCTTGTGGAACGAATATTTTCCAAACAAAAAAAGGCATTTCTTCAATGCCATGTGTGCAAAATAGCTGCTAAGAACGAAAATCTCTAATCCTGCTTAAAACAAACATTTTTCCAGACAAAATATGCCCACTATACAGTACATTAAAAGTACCGTTCCACTGCCTATACTACAGGTACATACTGTATAGTAGGAAATTTTGGAGGGAGTTAAATTTGTCAAATTGCTAAGTGATTGGCGAATTGGCCATGTGCCATTGAGCATGCGTATAATGGCTGAAAATGGTGAATTTTATTTTGGTAAATGGCTATAAAAAACTCTGAATTTGCCCAAATTTAATTCTCTCCAAAATTTCCCACTATACAGTACAGTAACTCACTCATATTCTAGTTGTTTCAAAGCAGCTGTACTGTAAGCTGATGCTCCAGCCTCCCTCATCTCCTGACTGATGTACGGTCTGGCGTTTGAGGGGCGTGGTGGGCGTGGCATGGCAATATACTGATGATTGGCTCTCAGTAATTGTTTGAAAGAGACGGTTAGCTCCCAGTTAGGAGAAGGGAGGGAATCAGGAGGAGGAGCCTGTGATAAAGTATCAAGTAACAATACAATTAAGTGATAAATTAACTTATGATAAGTAGCATTATTACATGTATCATAAATGTTCAAATAAACACCCGGTACTTATATCTTTTAAGCATAGATACATGTATGCATAATTTTATTTTCATTCTAGGTACTATGGTACTATAATAATAACAATACACACACACTATTACCACCTTATCATTCTTCTTGTCTCTATCATATTCCCTCACTAATAAAACAGAGAGCCAAACCTTAGTAGTCAACTATAATAATAATAATAATAGCAATATAATGGTAGCTAAACAAGAATTGCTATTGTATTAACTAACTGGTATATTGATTCTGTCAGTAAGCACTTCACCTTGAAGGCTAGACCGCTGATCAAAAGCTTCCTTTGCTAACTAAAATAAATAAAATAAAAACCGCAAGTAACAATCATATTTATTCATTAATTATTATAGTACAGTATTATACCTGTGCAAACAGCTCTTCATTGAAGAGCACATTTTGAGCTGATTTAAGTATCTGCTCCCATGGAGCTAACATCAACTGTTGCTTATGAAGCTCAATGAAACAAGACGGCAACAAAGAATCAAGAGAAACAACCTCTGGAACAAAAACCACATCAACATGTACACATAGATGACATGTACAATCATGTGATAGTCATGTGACATACCAT